CAAAAAAAAAGAACAGGCGCTATATGTTTAGCAGCTGTTGTTTTTTGAATAATATAGTTCTTAACAAGTATAAAATAACACTTGAGAGAAAAAAAAGATCTATTCGAAATTTCAGAATAAACGAAAGATTTTTAATTAAAAACAAAACAGTAAAGAAAATCAAACATTACCATGAATATATTCTGGATATAAACTGCCATTGTTTTGTAAAAAATACTTTCTACAGTTCTACTTTGTAAATCAGTATTGCATTTTATATATAATGCGCATGCATGTCAATCGGTTTTACTGAATTATAAGTAGGACGTGAGTGTGATCTGCATCTCAATGACGATTTATCTCGAGCATTAGATATTTTATTTTGCACAAAAAAATAATCAGAGTTTATCTCGGATTGTGAAAGAGAAAGAAAGTACCAGTCCATTTGCATAGCATAACTTTACTTTCTTTTATATGATTGTAAACCTTTTCTATTGATTCACATATTTTTATATTATATTATGAATAATAGTTATAAAAGTATCACAAAATATTTAATATTTCCGCTTCAAACATGTAGAATTGTAATATATGATCTTCATAAAATTCCTAAAAAATTATTAGGATCAAATCTTATTTTAATGATGGATATGACCGATTAAAATGTATATTGATTATTTTCCTTGAATTTATGTAGTGTATTTAAGAGAAAATAGAGAGTATCAAATATATATACATCAACATCATTTTTATCGTTCTTGCTCTTTCTTAGCTATCGAACTAATATCTTTCCATCTATGTTGACGTCCATATAGTTGAGTCATCATACTCTTGCCATTTTTTCATAAAAGTATTACATTAACCCTTCCGGTCCCATAGTATAAAAAAAGCAACACATGTTTTATAATTATTTTTCATGACAAAATTGATAAAAATAAATACAGAATCTTTTAACAAAAAGAGATAAAGAGCGTTCTAGAACTTTTGCAGAATATTTCCGTGGAAGTCGTCACCTTTACATCTTTTCTTTCTTCGTTCGACAAAAAATCATTCCAGTGTATGTCACTTTCTTTTCATGTGGTTTTGTTTTTCTTCCCAGCAGTCGATATACGATATATACATATTTTTTCTTTTATGTGCGCGATCTAATGTAGCTATACATGTGCACATGATTTATTTTTAAAAGTAATAAAATAGTTCAAAAGAACAGAACCTCTTCAAAGAAAGTATATAAAGTGGCGTTTTTGATCAGTCTATATTTACGAAGACTAAAGGGCAATCGAAACGAAGTACTAGACTCTTCCGTAGTTTACTCATCAAATACAATTATTCTTGAAAACGGATGGAAATGGATCTTAACCAAGAAAGTATAACAAACAACTCATCGATTGATGAGTTGTTTGCGATTTTTATGATGAAAATCATAGTGACCTTGAAATTCATGAAGATAGCAACGTGGGTTATTAATGATACATGTCTTTGTAACTAAAATAAGCTGTTTTAACAAACAATTTGAATTCAATTCAGTAAAAAATAATTTAGAACTGAAAGGGTTAAATATATTCAACTTATATTTCTCTCAGTATTATAATATCTTCTATTATTAAAAAAAGCAATATAGTTTCTAATCCATCAGAATGAAGAATTACTGATGAATGCAAATTATTTGATTATTTTCACTATGTAATATGTCAATTTTTGGAAAATCAACGAAAAAAACAGCAATGACTTATATAAAACTTTTATTTTGTATAGATAAACTAAGAAAAGTTAGTTGTAAAATAATCCTCTCTAAAATGTTAGTAAAAAAAGTATGAAATAATAGCATATAATAAATTGTTTTTATTTTATGAATATTTAACTTGAATGTGGATGAGGCGGTTGTGCTGCGTGAGCAGCTTTACTGTTTATAGCCATGTTCTCATATGCAAAATCCCAAATTGGCTTCATATTATGATAGAACTCATCAAATGAATACATTTTATCGTCATCAGTAGTAAGGTAATCATCAACTTCATTTTCTGGTAAACCCCATTGAATTAATAATTTTTGTAATTCAAACGATTCAATATATCCACTGGAATCACTATCCAAACAATCGAAAATAAAACGTGCTTTTGCTTTATTTTCTTTGATTTCACCTTCCTTTTTAATATTCATGGATGTTTCACCTAAACGCCATATATGTCTATAAAATTGATCATATGTTACTTGTCCTTTTTGTGAAAAACGTGAAAATCGTTTCATGAATGCTTCTGCAACTTTCCATTCTGATAATAAATGATTGACTTCTTCACCATCGATATATCCACTTTTGTTTGCATCTAATACATCAAAAACTTCCTTAGCTTTTTGTTTATCAGTAAGATGATGTTCATTAGATGAGGTTGCCAGTCGACCTTTTTCCTTAATCCAATGATCAAAAATAGCTTTGTTTACAAGAAGATCACGTGTTCGTTCACTAACAAAAAGTTCACGATCTATTGAATTTGGTCTAACAATAGATAAATAAAGTATAACACTACTTGCAACATAACCTATGAATAACATATTAGCTGAAACACCAAGTACTGCAGGAAATAGAATAAGACCTGATGTCCAAATTGAAGTTGTGTATAAAGTATCTTGAAATAATCCTGCAAAACCAAAAAAGAAATAAAATACTCGACACCATACATAAATATTGTGAATTAAAAACATGTTGAGTAACCAATAAACTGAACTTGGTTCAACAAATAAATGTAATGCAGAAAAAAGATGAAGAGATATTGCAAATAAATAAGCAGCAACCATCAAAGCTTTAGCACCAAAAACAATTGATGTTTGATAATATGCTGAAGGAACATGACCTAAAATAGCCGCAAGAGAAGCAATTCTTCCAATAAATGCACTGCCAGTCCAAAAAGCAATCCAACAGGTAACAAATTCTATAACTCCAGAGAAAATATGCACATAAATAGAAATTCGACGCTGTTTTAAGATAACAAATTTTGGATGTGGTGCATGAGTATAATGATAATAGAGTACAAACAAATTGAAAAAACTTGAAATTGCACATAATATACATTTTTCTGTATATAAATAATCCGGTGGATGTTTACGTGTTATATGATGAAAAGCATAAAATGCTCCCAAACTTATTATAAATATAACTATGTAATATAGATACAGGCGTGCTTTACTAGAAGCCATAGATAGTAAAAGTCGAAACAGAACTGAAAAATAAATGAAATGTATATATACTCAGTTTTACTAAAACATTTATATTCTCTTGATAGATTGTATTAACTGATTCTAGTTTCCTATGAAGCATAAAAAGCAAATTAAGTGCATTTGATTTTAACGAAAGATAAAACAAAACACCATACTCAAAATAAATAAAAAGTATGTCCAAACAAATATCGCTTAAGCTGAATGAAGGACATGCGCAATATAAACTTATTTTGATAGATTTATTACTTTGTTATTCATTTGACTAATTTGATTGAAAAGAATGATTTATTATACTTATTGATCTTATAACATGATTTTAATTATAAACTGTAAACAACGTACATATAGTAATCAAATATTTTTAAGTATACATCCCGTCATCGATCAAAACGCATCCATCAATGTAAAAATTTCTACATTAGTATAGATAGCATAGTGTTGATAAAATTACTCTTGTTTAAATATCGTTTGTAAGTAAGATCTAAATGTTTAATAAAAATAAAACTGACAAAAAATTAGAATCGGTCAAACAATGCTTCTCTGTATTTCGTTTATCTAAAATATTAGATTGTATAATATGAGTATTAAATAAAAAACAAAAAATCATTTAAAAGAAATATTTACTAATTAACCATTAATATTAAAAAGCAAGTGCAAGGTTATTACAAAGATATTTTTATGTGTTTACCAAAAATTAGCGAGTTATCATATTGACAGGTATGCACTTGAATCAGATACATTATTGATTCTAATGAACAAGAACAGTTTATATTCGATATTTAAAATCAACATATAACCTTGGTGTTCATTATCTTTCTTTTGGAAGCAAGGAGAAATACTATCATAACATCTAAGAAAATAAAAACCGATGATTTCAATTTTATATTTGTCAGAAGTTAAGAATTTATTCATCAGATTAAAATCATAGAAGAAAAATATAAATAAATATATAATAAATGCATCTAATATAAACGATCGAATATGAAACATACTTATCGAAAACAATTGGAATATTTGTAAGAAAATATTAGTAAGGAAATTAAAACGAGATTGACTTGTATTTATTTAAACTTTTGGACAATTGAGTTCTAGATTGAATGGTGATTTTATTATATATACAAATTAACGTTGCTAAGAAAATTTTCTCTGAAATAGATCTGTATAATCATAATATTGAAACTAAGACAAAACAATTTCTAAGAGCATGTAAAATTTTTGTGATCTAAAAATTATAACGGATAGATATTCCGTTACTCAAAGATAGTTTTGCTTTTTCAAAAACATTATCTATCTCGGCTCTAACAAAATCTTAAAGGTTTTTCAACACAATATAAAAATCATCTTATTTTAACGTGAACGACTTTTGTTAATTTAACGATACAATACTAACAGAATTTCGATTTTTTTTAAAAACTTTCTCAATCAGAGTTAATCCACGTGTTTTTGTTATAAAATCACATTTATATTACGAAATACGTTCTAATTCCATTGATGTAAACTACGTAGCTAGAGAAAATAAAATAGCTTCTTAAAAAAAATGTACGATAGTATTGATGTCTTATTTTTTTTGCTACTGTTCAACTAATATGTATATCTTATGAATGTTTTAGATTTTCTAAAAATCAATAATAACATATGATTTTTCCAAAAACCAAATGCTTTTTTTTTCTTTATAATTCCTAATGCACTTCGTACATATAATACATAATGATTGACGTAAAAACATCATGGCGAAATATTGTTCGATGTTTTGTGCGCACACACACACACTCTCTCTCCCGTAGTTATGTACTTATTTCGTTCTTCTTCATCGAGCATAGTTAACACACGCTTGTTTATATGCACGTTAGCTGCATTAGTTATAAATATAATCGATAAACATTCTGTTGTGAAAATGAATATGAATCGTGTATACGTTGGCGGTGCTTTTTTTATTTTACTGATATCGCTAGTCGCGTATTATATATCGTAAGTTGAATAAATCTAATGACTGGTTTTTCTATTATTGATATAATATCAATTAAGTCAACTAAGATTCTTCGTTAAGACTTTTGTAGTATGATTTTCTACAATATCATAAACTTTTATGTATTTATAATATTATTTAAATGACCGAAAAATATTTTTAAAAGGCTCTATTTGATATTATAAGAAGAATAATTCATACATTTATCTGTATATGAGCTAACATCTATTTAAAATCATATATATTTTTTATTTAAGGTTTCGTCTTGTCATTTTGGCCATACTCTCTCTCCTCTCATTATTAACTATTTATCCAGCTCCTACATCAACATTATGGTTAGTGTCTGTTATAGCTAGCGAATATTCTATCTTCTTTGCTGGATTAACATTCATTACATTACTAAGTGGATTCTTTTCAAGTTGTTGTGTAATATTTGGAACAGTTATTGGTCTTATCACTCTATTCTTATTTTTAACTCCAATTATAAGAGCTCATTTTATTGTACAACAGTTACCCAGTAATCTGAAGCAAGCATTCAGTCATGTTAACAAGAATACAGTATTGAACGATAAATTATCTACGACTGAACCCTTCAGCATTAGTAAACTATTTCAAAGTACACGAAAGATACCATATCAAACGTTTACATATGTTACTTATGATGATATTACTTTAAAATTAGATTACTATCCATCAACTATTACTGGAAAACGACCTTGTGTATTAGTAATACATGGTGGTTCTTGGATTACCGGTTCTCGTAAACAATTACCAGAACTTAACAGTCATTTAGCACGCATTGGTTATCATGTAGTAGCAATTAATTATCGATTAGCTCCAAAATGGAAATGTCCTGCACCAATAGAAGATACACATGCAGCTTTGAACTATTTACGAGATCATGCTGATGAATTAAATATTGATATTGATAATTTTATACTTCTTGGTCGTTCAGCTGGAGGACAAATAGCACTTTTATCAGCTTATACACTTGAAAAACTAGGTATTAAAGGTGCAATCAATTTTTATGGACCAGTTGATATGATATGGGGCTATAAAAATCCGACTAATCCATTGGTTTTAGATTCACACGAAACACTTGTTAGATATGTTGGTGGTACATATGAAGACATACCAGAAAAATATAAAGCAAGTTCACCAATCGAATTTGTTAAGAAATCTACAGTACCTACTCTTAGTTTTCATGGTGCAACTGATGCATTAGTATTCGACGAACATGCTCGTCGTCTTGCAGATAAATTAAAAGAAAATGAAGTACCTAATTATTTTCTTCTACTACCTTGGGCTACACATGGTTTTGATTATAATCTCAATGGCCCTGGTGGACAACTTTCAACATATGCAATTGAATATTTTTTGCATGTAGTTACTCAAAAATAAGATGATAGACTTTCTTATCAAAACTAACAATTATGTTCTTGTCATTTTTTTTATTTAAACAACCGATTAGATTTTGAAATGTTTCTAATTTCACTTCTCATTATAAAATAGATTTTGTTTAAAGAATTCTTGAAAAGAATTTGATGAATAGCAGATTCTAGTTTATTGAACAGCTAAACGTTATATCTGATTAAGACGTAATAGCATGGATTTTAAAATCATTCATCAAAGTGATATTCTATCACATGTATTCAATCACTTTAATTGATTACGAAATATATCGATAACGATAATATTAAAAATTAATTGATTCAGTTTGTTGTTCCTATGATCTTCTGAGTAAAGAGATGCAATATCATGAACTGTTTACTAAGTCTTGTCAAAGTAATTTTAAAAAAAGATTGCAATCGATAAACCACCGTTTTTTGAGATTTTTCATACCACGTATTGAAAATCTAAAAATAAATGGTATAAACCACTGTGATAAGAAAGTAATAAATTTACGATGCATAATATAAATACTATACATTACATATGCATAGCACCATACAAGAAATTCCGCTCTGTAGAAGGTATTATCATTAAAGTGAACATGAATGAGAATCAAACAAGTTTTCAAAAAACATGTTTTATGATATATAGAATGAATCTTATAACTATAAAATCAAAGATTACGATTACATAATAATTATTCATGACCATTGTTAAATATCATCTATAGTAATCTTGTGTTAAAAAAAACTAATTTCATTGTCCAGTTTATTATATAAGTAACACTTTCTTTTTTATATGCATCTATTCTAATCAATTTAATCAAAAATTAATCTAAGCAACTATCAAAAGAATTGCATGATATATCAAAAACAGAATTTTCTATATTCTTACGGGAATAGAATAAAGAATAAAGTTCAAAGATCGTGTAGTTTTCTCTCTAAAGATTATAACCTATGTTTTTTCCTGAAACATCAATAAATTGAAAATATTTTGTACAAATTAATAAGCGTATATATGTACATAACAATTCACAGATTACTAGAAGCAAAAAATCTAATTATTTAACTCATATATATATTCTTGTTAACCTATTTTAGTACATATTTCAATAAATCTCAAGAGAATAATAGAAGTATATCAATTGATTATGTAAACACACAAATCTTTATAGACATTTCATATTACTTTAAAAATATCTAATTATCACTTTATGTTGAAATTTTTCTTTTAGTTTAAAGTGCAAAAAGATAAATTATCGTTATCTTTACTTTTTTAATAGTGTGATTAATAATGTAACAGATGATGAATAATCTTTGTATGATTATTAAATATTGTTTTGTTTACTATACGAAGTTATTTTTTTTTGCTATTGGACATGACTAAAACGCCAGCTCATAATCACTCGCTTCATATGCGTGCACATACTTACTCTCCACCTTCACTTGCGTTCTTCAATCCGCATCACTTTTTATTCATTGGCTCGATTATTCGCCTTTCATGCCCTTATATGGTGATAGAAATAGAATTTCAAGCCGACGAGAGACAGAGAGAAAGAGAAACAGTTAGGCGTACATATATAGTATATAAACTGAAACAAAGCATTAGTCTGTCACTATTTCAATTCAATCCTACTTCAACTACATTTAATAATTTTTCTTTATTTCAATAAATATGTGTGACGACGACGTTGCAGCACTTGTTATTGATAATGGTAGTGGTATGTGCAAAGCAGGTTTTGCTGGTGATGATGCTCCACGTGCAGTATTTCCATCCATTGTTGGTCGACCACGTCATCAAGGTGTTATGGTTGGTATGGGACAAAAAGATTCCTATGTTGGTGATGAAGCACAATCAAAACGTGGTATTCTTACATTAAAATATCCAATTGAACATGGTATTGTTACCAATTGGGATGATATGGAAAAAATTTGGCATCATACTTTCTACAATGAACTTCGTGTTGCACCTGAAGAACATCCCGTTCTTCTTACTGAAGCACCATTAAATCCAAAAGCGAATCGAGAAAAAATGACACAAATTATGTTTGAAACATTCAATACACCAGCTATGTATGTTGCTATTCAAGCTGTTCTTTCACTTTATGCAAGTGGTCGAACAACTGGTATTGTACTTGATTCAGGTGATGGTGTGACACATACAGTACCAATCTATGAAGGTTATGCATTACCACATGCCATTCTTCGTCTTGATTTAGCTGGTCGAGATTTAACTGATTATTTAATGAAAATCTTGACTGAACGTGGTTATTCATTTGTAACAACAGCTGAACGTGAAATCGTTCGAGATATCAAAGAAAAATTATGTTATGTTGCATTAGATTTTGAACAAGAAATGGCTACAGCTGCATCATCATCATCATTAGAAAAAAGTTATGAATTACCAGATGGCCAAGTGATTACAATTGGAAATGAACGATTTCGTTGTCCTGAAGCATTATTTCAACCAAGTTTTCTTGGAATGGAAACTGCTGGTAAGATAAATGATATAGAATTTTATTTGAGAGGAATTGTAATTTTCTTTTCTTGCTCATAGGTATTCATGAAACAACATATAATTCAATAATGAAATGTGATATTGATATTCGTAAAGATTTATATGCGAATACAGTTCTTTCTGGTGGTACAACAATGTATCCAGGTATTGCTGATCGTATGCAAAAAGAAATCACATCATTAGCACCATCAACAATGAAAATCAAAATCATTGCACCACCTGAAAGAAAATATTCGGTATGGATTGGTGGTTCGATTTTAGCATCATTATCAACATTTCAACAAATGTGGATATCGAAACAAGAATATGATGAATCAGGTCCATCAATTGTTCATCGAAAATGCTTTTAAACAGAATCATTTTTTTCTCTTCTTCTTCTTCTTTTTCAATGTGTTTAACACTGTGCGTATGCTTGTGTGTATATTTTTATTAGATGTTGTGTGTCAATGGTTATTAGCGGTATGTTTACTGTGAATAGACGTGCTTTTTCTTCTCTTTTATTCAATATTATCATTCCATCCGTTTTCTTTATTATCAAACCATTCAGATTAACATCATCCGTTTATATACTTCTTCTTTTCTTTCGCTTTTTATTGTTATGATACTCTTCAGATTTATTTATAATAAACATTAAAAGAATGCAATATATATATATACATAATATATAATATCTTATAAATATGAAATGATGTTTTTGAAGAAGAATATTGATTTTGATCATATAAAAGATACAGCTATTTGATTGTAAAAAAATAATTTAATATTGTAATATTGTAACAGATTATTTTAAGCAAACTGACGTTTTTGAGTATCTATAAAAAATACATATAGCCATAAATGTATTTCAAAAGTTAGTTAAACAAATGATGTTGATGTTTTCTAACGTCGAATGTGGCGCCATATATTTCTAATTGGATGCTGATGGTGGGGGTCTTGACACAGTGGTAATGGCGACGAATGTGTTATTATTTTTAAGAATTATTCTCTAATTTTTGCAAGTAAACAAATATAAATCTTTTGATTAATTTTAGATCGAACAGCGACTATGACGGACGCGTGGTATAGTAAAACCAATGAAACAATTATCCCGGGCAATCCTGATCGCATTAAAGCTAAATGGGATCCATTACAATACTTAAATTTAGCACAATACTTAAAAGTATTTAATGAATATCCACGTGATTTTAATCCACGTGTCCATGGTCCTTATTGTCCATGGCGATACTATGGAAAACGTTAGTTTATATTTTCAAAAAAAAATCTTTATATTCTGTGTTTTATATTTTAAGGCGATCTTAGTTTTGGTGATGTCAAACTTGCTGACGTCCCAGCATGGATTGCACGACGAGATAAAACACCAATGGGAGTTTATCAAGGTGGTATTAGAAGTAAGTAGAAAATAATTTAATTAAAAAGAAAATATAAATAAAAATAATTAATTTAGCTTTTTGGAAATTCTATCGTGCTTATATGGATAACAAGAAGCCAAACCTTATTTGGTATACACAAATTTTTGTTGTCGCCTCACTCTTTAACTTTATCTTCTATGCTATTCCCGATAGAAGTAATATTCTTCGATTGAAATTACTATATTTATATATATTTTTCTTTTATCGTATTTTTAGAACACTACAAATGGGCCAAATATCACTAAATTTATATTGCACTAAGAAAACTATATTATTATTGCTCCTTTTTCCGGTTCCTTATTTTTATTCCCATCGTAGCTATTAAGCGTGTGATTTTCTTTTTTCAATAAACGTTTAGGAAGTTGAAGTCATCATACATATATAGACAAAATAAAAAATTTATCTATACAATACAGAATTCAAATATAAAGATGTTCATTTGAACTTCTCTTTAAAGACGCAACTGAAGTATCAAATAACATTAAGTTGGCGTTTTTTAATATATTATCTAAAAATAGTAGGAACTGATTTGATCATATTTCTAAAAGCAATTTATAAGAACGCGTCTATGCCTAAAGGGAAGCTTGAAAAAAAATCTCGAAAGTATTTCGATTCTTCTTCTTCTTCTTTTTTCAGATGGATATTCTTTCAGGTGTTGAGCGTGTGTTATTAAATGAAGTTGCAAAAACATATAATGATTTAAAAAGTATTGATAACAAGACAATGGAAGGTGATAAAATAAAGTTTTTCTTTTGTAATTAGTTTTTGATTATAGACTTCAAATTCTATTAAAAATATTTCTAAATTATAAATCACACACACACACAATGAAGTTCAAAAAGTGGAAATAATATAATAAAATAGTTTGTTTTTATAGGTTTAGCATTATTTTATGGTTATGAAATTCTTCTTCATGGAATACATCTTCTTAAACAAACAAAACGTCTTGTTTTATATTATACAATTGAGATAAATTCACGTCGTCTTTATCAATTTCATGCGAATAAAAATCAAGTATCTGTTTATACATTATCAACTAGTAATTTTTGTACATGTAATTTTTATAAAGAACATATTTTAAGCAAACAAGATTATTTTGCATGTCCACATAATATAGCGATTAAATTATATGAACAAATATCAAAATCAAATAATGATATTGATATAGAAATGTTTGATGTAACTCATGAATATTTAATTGATAAAATGGCAAAACTTATTGAACAATCTTGTGAATTATAATATAAAATCTCTTATAAATAATTAATCTCATCAATCATAATAAAATCATATCATATATCAAATCATACTAATTTTTCATTCAATTATTTTGTTTATTTTCAAGTGAGATCAAATACGTGGCAAGAATAATACTTACTAGAATTTATGGAATGTAAAAGAAATAGAGAAAAAATATAATAGAAAAAATAAATTATTCTTGTGTTGTTTATGGGTTCGTAAATTGCTGTTTTATGACATATTATTTGTCGGCGAGCGCTTCAAAATAAATCCGGTATTATATGCACCATTAAATCTTTTGAAGTTTTATTTCCGATGAAGAATGTCGACATCATTATGAATAAAGACTCTTTTTGTTATCAATAGGTTAATATTACATAGAGTTATAATTTCTCAATAGATAGTTCTTTTACTCATTCGGTATTTGATGTATTTAATTACAGAGAGTAGCTGACATTATGTCTTATTGCTTTCGGCATTCGACATATAAGCTGATTAGTGAACATATTAATAAATATATACAATGATACAAGTGTATGTCACATTATCAGATAAATGTATATAAGTTGAAGTACTCTGTAAAGCAACAAAGCAGAAAAGACAACATTAAAACTAAATGTGCTAATTGTAATAACCGGATGCATGTCATAAAAAAAAGTTATAATAAAAAAGCAAGCGAGACGAAAAGACGGAAGGAGAGAAGAAAAACAGAGAAAGAGAGAGAGAGACTGAGAAAGAAGATTTTTTCTTTTGTCAGCTACTTTTTTTCTTCTCTTGTTTGTTGTCTCCTTATGTCTGTCTATATATATATATATAAATATATATATTTCATTTAATTGTCATGAGCTTTTCTCAATCAGTGTTGTCTGAACACGCACATCTTATTAATATTTGAATATACTAAATCTTATTTATTAGCTATAAGTAGATTTTCATATGTACTCAAAGTAGAACTTCAATGACATCAGATTTTCCAAATGAAATGTCACCATCAAAACTTGATACTGGTCAAGTTCGTTTATCAACACCATCAACAAATCGTCGATTTTATAAAACTAGTCATCATCAACGTCATAATTTACATACGAGACGAGCAGCAACAATCGATCCAGAAACAAATGAAGAAAAACTTCGTATAGTTGTACTTGGAGCTACTAAAGTTGGTTAGTAAATTTTTATTTTATTTATTTACATCTTTAATATTTGTATTTTAAAGGTAAAACATGTTTATGTCAACAATTTTTACAACAAAAATTTCTTCCGGAACATAAAGAAACAGTTGATGAAATGTATCGAATTGAACTTTCATTAGTTGATCGTCGAATAATACTTGAAATATTAGATACAGCTGGTATTGATGAATTTCCTGTTATGAGACGTATTGCTATAGCACATGGTGATGCTTTTCTTATTATGTATGCTGTCAATGATACTTATTCATTTGATATTGCTCAACAAATGCGTCAACTTGTTTATGAAATTAAAGGTGATTCAGAAACTCCAATACCAATGGTAATTGTTGCGAATAAATGTGATTTAGATATTGAAAGACGTGAAATAACTCGAGATTATGCTGAAACAATAGTACGAGATCAATGGAAATCAACATTAATTGAAACAACATGTCATGAACGAGAATCCGTTCTTAATACATTTCGTGTTTTACTTCATTTGGCCAATGTTAATATGACATTTAGTCCGGAAGTACCACGACGTTCTTCTGATCCAAGTGTATCGGAAAATAGACAACAACGTACAACTAATAAACGAAATAGTTGTGCACAACAATAAATTAATTTATTGATGTTTGTTTTTTCTTTGTTAAATATATATAAAATTAATTATTTTATTGGAAAGAAGACAAGAAGAAAACAAGAAGTAATGCCTTTCGACGTTATTCTTTCAGCTAGGATGTTAGATTAAGATTAGTAATATAAAGAAAGAAAATTATCTTTTCTTTTTTTCTATTAAATATATAAGAATAAAAATAAATATGAATTTCAATACAATCTATTTAATATACAGACTAAGTTCAAGGTTATTATATAAATAAAAACTAGTTAAAAGAGAAACATATCATCTTTAAGAGTATTATTGTCAAAATAGAGCCTTGAAGCTACATTTTTGAATGAGTATTGTAATCAATTGAGACATAGCATTTATATATAATGAATAGAAAATAATAAATTCTGCAAATATTCGTTTACTTTGATAAACAACAGTGTCATCATATATAATATATAATTGATAGAAAAACAAAGCTTCATAAATACTAGCGAATAGTACTTATTATGAAAGTCATTAATATTTTTATTGAATGTTAAATAATAAGAAAAAAAAATCGATTTTATTTTTGTATTCTTGCATTTAATACGAAATAAAAATTTGTATATAGATTGAATTCTAAACAGTTGAAATGTGTGATGGATACAAATGAATTCGATAGAATCAATAACAATAACCTTGATTATAATATCATTAAACTGTGTCATTCATATTAATTGTAGACATAACTTTAGTTATTTTCGAAGGTTTTCTTTTTAAATAAATCTTCTTATTACCTTCTTACGTATTTGATTAGATTTATGTTTCAAGAAAACAAAATGTGAGATGTATATTGAAGTCAGAACGACAACAACAACAGCAGTAATAGCTTATAAAGATATAAGCCTTGTCATAAAAATGCTCGTTGTAATATGATACTATTGTTGATATACAGAATTAGACTTCTATTGTCGGAATATTTAATATAACGCTAAAAATAAAATTATTTTAGATAACTAATAATGAATTTGTTGTTATTATGAATTTCGATCTTTGTTATCACAAGCACGTGTTAAAATTTAAAAAATTTGGTTTCCTCAGATGTTGAAGATATAAAAAAGAAAATAAAAAAAAAAGAAGTTGCATGTCTTGATAGGAATGTATGCATATATTTAAAAAGTCTGATGACAAATCATACCTTATCTTACTCTCTTTCGTCTTTTTTTTTGCTTTATAAAAGAAAAATGATGGGGGCGTTAGTATTTTTATTGTCGTTGTGGTATGTATGGACTTCTCTATATCGTTCTTTATGATGACGATCATTTTCGTTTTATATATCGACATTCTTTCGGCACCTCAACCATTTTTTCTAATCAAACTTATACGAATAGTATTGTCATATAACATTATTCGCTATGGCCTATACACCACGAAGTAATTTTATAAAACTATCTTTAAAATAAATACTTTTTTCTATTTTAACAAAAAGGTACAAATGATCAACGATATGAATTTCAACCACAGGATCAAGCACCTACTATTTCAAAACTTGTCAGACCATCCAATGATTCTCATACAATTGATAGACAAAATATCAATAGTCCATATACAACAATTGGAAAAATCGGTGAATCATATGTAACTAGTTCACAACGCACTGGAGATAGTGCTTATGAAAGTATAAGACGAAGTGGTGGTGATAATAATAATGCAGTTCAACGTTTTAATGATGGTAATAATCGTCAAGAAACTAGCCAACGTAATAATGAATATGCACGACGTATACCAACCGCTCATATTAATGTTGATACAAGTCGTCGTCCAGCTGA